ATTTGGAGCGGATACATTCCTCATTGATGTTAGTGACCGTGCAGCGATTGTTCAGAGATAACAAGTTGAATTAAACTAGCCAAGTGAAATTCAATGAATGATTTTTATCTGTAAAGTCGTATCATATGTGAATTGTTACAAAGAAGATGACTCAACAATTTTATACAAAGTACCTGGTAGAAACAGTCAAGTTAACTGATTGGAAGCCATGAGGAATTTATTAGGACTTTTGCATGAAATAAATAAGCTACTCTGATTATTTTGCATTTTACAGTGTTCAATATTTAAGGTGGCTAATTTATTTTACAGAATAAAATTTTTTCCATGAACCGTTTTTGTTTTTAATAAGAAATCTGAAAAGTGAAGTATCAAAGAAAATATTGCAAACTTACTGTCATAAGATTGTACAAATTTGTATTCTACTTCCATCGAAATTTATTTCAATTAATGTGAATATATAGATTTAGTAAACTTAATGATTTTTACATTAATTCTAAGTACAAAAAATATACATTATGAAAATATATGTGGAACAATCAAAATTGATGCTGTATAAGAGTTCATGGATTAAATTTTATTAAGTGAAGTAAAAATCTTCCTTACATATGTTACTTTAATTGTGGTGGTTTCTTTATAACAGCACACAGTTTTCTCAAGGAAAGTGATTCTCGAATTATTACACAGATGACCTAGCTTTGAAATATGTCTTGCATCCAATGTACATACAATGGACATGTAAGGCCTTGAATACGTAATTATTATATGTTATTTATATGTTGAAAATATTTAATAAAACGGAGCATCTTGTTTAAACCAATTTACAATATGTACAGTATTATCCAATTAAAAAATATTTTCATCGTGTTCAGTTTTTAACGTTTTAGATACTTTTTTTATATTAGAACTTTTAATGCTCTTCCAATTTAATTATATCAAAGACTGTATCATGAGACTGGATAGGTTTTGAAGATTATGAAAATATTTCCACTCATTAACTTGAGTCTGTTTTGTGCTTGAATAATTCAGCAATGATGCTTTATGATCTGCAATATGAAAATGTTTATATAAGAAAATAGTGGTTATTCAAGATGCACGTTTGAAATGATATTGTTTTATTTAAATAGTGATTTGAATGAATCAGTTTTAAACAAATGATTTCTTTTACTTGCTCTGAATTATTTTAATTAGAATTAAACTAACAAAGAAGTTTCATTCAAATTAGAAGTAAATTGCATTATGAATCAAACCTAAATTATGAAAATCTTTCCTTTCATAAATAGCTAAGCTTTTGGTCTTGACAAAATTAAATTAGTTTGATGCAATCAAGATCGCGTAACTGCACTACATAAGCTGTGATAATAAGTACATGAATTAGGTATTGTAACAACAAATAAGGCCTAAGTGTATTTCATACATTGCCCATAATTCACTATCATAATTTATCAGAGCAAGTAAAAGACAGGCAAATTGTTTTATCTCTGATATTGGGCTTTAGCAGTGCCAAAAGGGTAATATATGCACACACTACAGCTTCATCTTTGTATATTAATTTGTAGCCATATAAGACACTGAAATCGGTAACATGTACCTATTAATCTTTAATATATGATGTTATAAATGGAAAATTAACCCATAATTGACTATATAGTATTATTTTTATTTTATACAAGCTAAGAATTTTATGTATAATATTCATCCTTACAATGCAATATAAGTATAGCAATGTTAAGTGATCAAAGAATCATAGAACACAGAGTTTATTTAACAGTTATCCTATATTATCACACAATCTTGTACATTAAAATCAGTTATGGGTTAATTATAACACTATCTAGAATTTAACAAATTTTTGGACTTTTACATATCGAAAAGCAGATAACTGCATTCACGAAGAATTTTTTTATTTCATATATGCTGTATATGCTTCAAATTTGACAAATTCCAAAGTGGTCAGAATTATGACATAAAAAGTTGCCTATCGTAAAACACGACACATTGTCAGTAATACAGTAAATAAAAATAAACCACCCAGTGAAACCCAGCCCACATTTCCCATCCCTTTCTAAAATTCTCTTTTCTACACACTTTCAAAAATCTCATTTTCGCCTCTTACAATTTTACCGTTTCAATTCGACATTCGTACAGTCACTAAATATACATCATCTTTGCTGAAAAAGACATAATGAAAAAATAACATTAATCCTAGTTCAACTTTTTATTTTATTCATTAATCTCCAACATCTCTACACCTATATCTCGATCTCATGATGCTGCATTATTAGGAAGACAATACAACATAGTGTTTTATGATAGGTGACTGTATCGTAAATCGGGCTAGTTTGGAATTTATCACTTAGTATTAATTATGCGTGGTGAGGTCTACCAGTCCGCTATTTTATGGTCTAATAATCCGGGTTATTTTGAAAATCATTAAAGACTGCTAGTTAACAGTTTATTGTTTGACAACGTACATGTTCGGTCTTTTCAAAATTTTTATCCGTGAAATGTTAATTTTACCACTTAATTACATTATTAATTAAATACAGAAATTTCCTCATCTCGCGAGATATAAAATACCTGTTAAAGTCATGTTTGTAAATACGATGAACGTTTTTTGTAATTTAGTATTAAAGTATCAAAATACTTCCGTTACCGTAATCCGTTTCATATCATATATGACGTATATGTCATTTAATCGTATTGCCTGCTTCTGGTACTGTTGTTGTTACTACTGATATACAATTTTGGACAATTCATTGTGCCACAAAATTTTCATAAATTTTCATAAAATTTTGTTCGGTTATGCATTTTACTTGAATTGCATTGTAACATAAACAGACTAAACAGACATACCTCGTGTCTGCGTTCAGTCTAAGATAGGTAAACTGTAAATAGAATTTAGTGAAATGTAATTTTAGAAATAAGACCATTAAGGAAAAAAGTAATTTCTTATAATTTACAATAACGTGACTCATAGCAATAGAATATTCCTACGCACATTGGATGTAACTGTTTTCAAAATCATATTATGTAGTAACAAATTTTTGTAATGATGGCCTGACAAACTTTTATACCATAAGAGTATGAAAATGTTATTTCACGTTAATGAAGTAACAAAAGAAATGTATCCATTCTAACAAAAGTCATCTTTTTCCGCGAAATTGTATACAAGGAGTGTTGGTTACAGAAAAAGTTCCTCAGAATATGAAACGATCATGGTATCGATCATAGACATAAAAAATATAGAAGAGGGAATAAAAAAGCGGTGCTTGGAAAAATAATATAATGTAACATTTTTTTAATATCTAAATATGTAGATATCTTCGTCTTTGTTTTGTAATAAAATAGCATTATGAATATGTTAGGAATGAAAACGAATTACCATTTGTCATACCATTACAACTGTTCTATAACAACAGTTTTATTTTGTCGATAATGTAATATATAAAATAATTGCATAGTTAAAAGCACGCAAAATAATAAACATTTTAATAAGCGAGATAGTTAAAATTGGTTTACCAAAGTTTACAAAAAGTGGGAACACATTTAAATTATTTACACAATTAAAAAACATATTTAATGAAC